GTGTGAATTCTAGTGTGATCATGGAAAATTTGGAAGGGCCGCGTAAACGACAAAAACATCAGTCCTTTAACAGTTAATGAAAAAACATTAATATTTAATTGTTTTAAATCATTTACATACAAACATTTATGTAAAAGTGTTGATGACACAAAGGAATTAGTTAGTAGTACGCTTGGTGTTGGGAAATCTACGATTTACAGAGTTGTTAAAGAAGAGAAATGTAGCGAGTTTCAAACAGCACGTAAAGCTCTAGGAAAACCAAAATTTCAATTAGAAAATCTTTTGAAAGAAAGTCTTCGAAGGAAAGTGCATGCGTTCTTCTTTAGAAAAGAATTTCCGACAGTAGACAAAGTTCTTGCCACGGTTCGAGATGATAAGGATTACCCTGAAATGAGTCGAAGCACACTATGGAAACTTTTAAAAGAAATAGGTTTTCTATGGAAAAAGCATTCCAGAAAGTCTATTTTAATAGAAAGAAGCGATATTGTAGTATGGAGAAGAAATTACCTAAGGACTATAAAAGAAATGAGAAACCAAAGAAGAAATATATTTTATTTAGATGAAATATGGATCAACGAGGGACATAAACCAAATAAATGTTGGCAAGATGAAACTGTTACAAGTCAAAGATAGGCTTTTTTAAATAATTTATCTACTGGTTTAAATCCACCATCAGGAGAGGGACGCAGACTAATAATAGTACACATCGGTAGTTCAAACGGTTTTGTTAAAGGTGGTTTATTGACTTTTGAATCTACTCGTACCGGTGACTACCATGAGGACATGAATGCTGATGTCTTTAAAGAGTGGTTCGAACAAATTATAGATCTTCTTCCTCTGAACTGTATAATAGTAATGGATAATGCAAGTTATCACTCGAGACTTATAGAAAAAATGCCCACAAAACCAAGTGGTTAAAAAAAGATTTACAGAATTGGCTAAATTCAAAGAATATTAAGTTCCATCCCGGTTCTGTGAGAAAAGAACTGTATCATTTGTGTTCCCTTCATAAAGAGAAATTCAAAAAATATGAAATTGCAAAAAATCGTGGGATGACGGTGGTTAGATCACCACCATATCATTGCAAAGTAAACCCGATTGAACTATGATATGGGCACAGATAAAGGAAGAAGTTTCAAGAAAAAATAATTCTTTTAAAATGAGTGATGTTTAACAGTTGTTTTTGGAGGCTGTAAATAATGTGAAGCCTGAAAACTGGGAAAAGGCAGTAAATCATACGATTAAAGAAGAAGAGAAAATGTGGAAGTTGGACAATATTACTGATGAAATGGTCGAGACACTCATTGTAAATATTGGTTGCGACAGTTCATCTTCTGATTTCGATTCTGATTTGTAGGTAAAAAGCAGTTTTTATATTAAAATTATTATTATTTTTGAACGTAACGTTGTTTAAAAGTCAAAGTTTAAACCCTTATGCCTACATAACCCGTTTGACACAATGTTCTTAACATACCTTGTGGAAAAATAAAACATTTTAGAAAAAATTGCACTTTTTTACCTTCAGCTGTTTAGAAGTTATAAGCAGGTTAATTTGGTGAAAATATAAGTGTATACTCGAGGAATAACTTCAAAAAAGATTTTAACTGTCTACTAAAAGAAGTGATACGCCTATGGATTACGAACGCTTTATTATTTTAATACTCTCTCATACATAAAAATAGACTATAATATACGGAATACATCCATGATCAGTGGCGTAACTAAATATATTCGGCAACATAAATATAAATAAATATTTATCATATTTTTTTATGCTGTATAATATAGAACATTATTTAGTTATTTAAAAAATTATCTCAACTTCTGGGAAAAATATTTACCATTTTAAATGATTGTCAACAATTAGTATTGGATATACATTTTTTATTCAGCTTCTGGAATTTTTAAATTATTAAAGGGTCAAAATTGGGAATTCCACTATATTAAATGATAATTCATTACAATTATAAATATTTTTTAAATAAACCACGTTATAATTCTTTAGTCTCATGTTTAACATAACATTATATCTACAGAAAATGGCGGTATCATCCGCTAAGCTTGTAATTTTTCCATGTGCATATTCAGTATAAGCAAACTGTTTATATATAAATCGCTTAAGGCCTCAGTACAGTTCCTTGGGATATACATTGCTTATATTCTCTACGTTTTGAGATCTATTGCTTAAGTAGCTTTCAATAAAATTATATGCGACGCCTTGTATGCTTTAAAATTTTAAATTTTTCATGATTCACTGTGTCAAAAGCTTAAGAAAGGTCTACAAAAATACATAATGAATGTGCTTTTTTATCTAATGCGATGTATACATTCTTTATAATTGAGCAAATATTGATTTTTAGATATAAATGTTGTATTTTTCCAAAAAACTAATAAACCTCTTTTTAAATAAGTTCTCAAAATGTTACTTATTAAAAAAACTTGTAGGAAGTTATATGTATAGAATTAGCATAGTAAATATTATTTTATCTTTGGCTTAGTCAGTATTTAAAATGTTATAAATATATGTTAACTTGTTTATTTCAACAATTCTTCAGATATTCTTCATGCTTGAATGTTGTAGTTTAGGAATTAAAAAAAAAAAAAAACGGTTTTTCTCTCAAAAAACCATAATTTGGAAGATTTTTTTGCTACCCTATTCCTTACGTCCAAGTAAACAATATAATACTTATGTATGAAAACAAGTATAAATAGATTCACACATAATTTAAATTTTTTATTTAAAAACAACAGTTTGAAGAAACCGTAAAAAGGTTAAAAACCTTACTACATTCGTAAAGCACTGTAACAAGTTTAATATCCAGTTCTGAAACATTTTTATTTCAATTGAAAGAAATGTCTACATGTAGTAATTCATTTTCTAATATTAATTCTAAATTTTTTGATGTCTTTTGTTTAAATGGATTAATATCAAATTTTTCCGATTTAGATTTAACTAGTCTTATAAAATTGAATCATCACAAGGTACATAACTCGAAAACAACAATTGCTACTTCCTTTTAGCTATTATTCCGTTCAAAGCAAATAATATCTACAGCTAGTCTTCTAAAAATTTCCTAATTTTGTCAATAAAATTTGTAAAAGTTGTGATAGGTGAAATACCATTAAATTAAAATTAAAAATATTGATAAAAGTGAAATAAAATTTTAATTATGTTCTATTTATCGTGTGGCTTCGGGGCGACTCACAGATGCTGTCATTTGATTTGCAGATGAGGAAACCCCAGAAAAAATATATTGATTCCCAAACCAGACAAAGAATCCAAATCCTTAAACTCATACCGTCCTATCTTTCTGATATCATTGCTAGATAAACTCCTTGAACTTCTGCTTAAGGAAATAATATGGCATTTTTAAGAAGAACGAAATATAATTCCTTAATATCAACATGATTTTAGACCTTATTACTCTACTCAGGACGCAATCTCCTCACTCCATACTACTGCAGTCAATGCAGTAAACTCTCGTCAAATTTCATTGGCCGTTCTTCTCCTTATTCAAAAATTGAGGCATGCTGGACTAGTCAAAAAGCTCATGAACATAGATCTCCCCCTCAATATCTCCAAACTCTTACACTCACACCTCACTGACAGAACTATCGCAGAAAAAGCCCTGTCAGACCAATTTAACCCACTTGCTGGAATACCACAGAGCTCCGTCATGATCCCTTTCCTATATCTCATATACAATCACGATTTTCCACCCCCAAACCACATATCGTGAAAATGTTTTCCCTATACCGACGCTAGTTATTATTAATTAAATCTACAATAACACGAAAACGGAGTTAGTATGAAAAAGTTTTAATTTTAATAGTTTTAAATGACTCTTATTCCACACGTAGACTTAATTGTTTTAGTTCCCTTACACTTACACCGGTGGCGCTGTAATTTTAGTACCGCTTTGATTATTTTGTGATTGCAGACTTAGGGTGAGATTACAGAACGTCTGCAACTTTGCAGATCTGCAACTTTGCAAATCTGCAAATATGGCGGACTTACAAATGCAAGTATTTAAAAAAATATCTGCAAATTCGCAATATTTATTGTAGTTTATTACCCCCAACAACACTAAACCCAAATTTGGAATACGAAAACTTGATACTTGCATGTGTAAGTCAGTCATATTTGCAGATTTTCAAAGTTACCGCCATATTTGCAGATCTGCAAAGTTGCAGACGTTCTGTAATCTCACCCTTAGATTATAAATATCTACACAATCTTTCTTATACTCCTTCTTCGCCTAACTAAAGTTTATTAAAAAATGACCACCTGTATGAGTCCGTAAGTGAGTTCGTTTCAACTAAAAAAAAAAAAACTCACATAATTACCTGTAATTGGTAAGAATTCCGCTGAAACGTCGATCGCCGGTGACAAAAAAAACGCGATTAAGGAAATAAAACACGGTGTAGACCGGTTGTAAAAATCAATCGTGAGAACTGCACTCGTGTGCGCTATTCCTCTTTTTCTTCTTTTATTGGGTGTCGCATCGTCTTTGTCTCGTTTTGTAGCTTTGTTTCTTTGTATGCGCTTCGATGGCTCTTCGGAGGGTAATTGCAATGGGTTCAGAAAATGATACAGGATGGAAGTTTCAATATTCGTTTTGTTCAGATTTTTTTTTCCAAAAGAACTATGTTAGATCTGGTCTGCAGCACAAGCATTAATTTTTCTTTAAACTATAAATAGGACGATCAATAAATATTATTCGAAGAATAAAAAGCCTTTAGTGATATACAGCGATGATACAGATATTCTAGCAGTGGATGTTAAATAAATTTTATTTCGTAGTGTGGAGATTGAAAAGACTTTCATAACGATCATTAACGAATAGCACTGTTTGTTCATCCATATTTAACGAAATTTATTCAATATCTTCATTGGTGAAATAGATTTGAATTGATTCAACTTTATTTTCCATTTTTTGGTCCAGTTTGAAATTATATAGATTTGTAAATTGGTTACATAAATGGCAATTTGAGCTTACCTTGCTGTTTTAAGTTGTTCCACATGAGATGGAAGGTCTATCATGGTAGCGTTTGGAGAAACTTTCTTCCAATATGCATCGCTGTGTGCATCAGGCAGGTCTACTTGTCCTATAAAATGGAAACGATATTGTGGAAAAACATTTTTAACTTTTCGATAACATTAATGTTAAATTAGGTACCAACATAGGTGCAACTTACCAACAAACGCTTCGCAAAATAGTCTTAAGTTATCACCAACAACTACATTAGCCTTTTCGGTGATATAAGTGATCTTTGGTTCGTCTGGAGTTTTATCTGAAAAGAAAGAAACAATACAGTTACTTTTATGATAATTCAAAAACTTTAGGTACCTAATTTAAAACTGTATAAGATTATTAATAGTAGCACTATACTCCACTCGACTAGATTTTTCCCCAGATCTGATGAAAAAATTAAACCGACAACACCGTAATGCCATTGAATTAGCGTATGGCAAAGCTTAAAATTTCTTAAAATCCCCTAACACTAGCCCATTCGCAGTGTATTAACACTCCAATCCTAACATAACAACACTAGCCCATTTTTTCTCATTTCTATAAAATACAAGATATCCAAGATATATGTAAATCAAATACTCATTGCATTACAAGGTTTACTTAGAGTTTTTATTACAATATCTGAATACAATTTGAAGACTATCTAAATAAATAATAAATGTACTTGAATACCACTTGAATAAAATTTCAAGTTTTGTCATACGCCTAGGCGTTACGGTGTTGCCGGTTTAATGTTTCTCCAGATCTGCGGAAAAATATGGCCTAGTGGAGTATTAGACTACTACTATTAAGAATAAGAAATATTAGTCAGTTATTTTGTTGTTGTTAATGTTGTACGTCAATAGCAGAAAAATCTAAATGCTAAATAATTATTTGTTAATATTGTTACGCTGGTTTTTGGTATCACAAATTATTTCGACTGAGCTTTAAGAATAACAATACAACTGATAACATTAACGTGTCGTCTATCATAAAACTGAAAACTGACGTCAGGATCATTCTTATATAGCTTGCTTAACCCTTCTCGAACCTTCTTGAACTGTCGTCTAGAATATTCTTGACGAGTAAAGACATTTCCAGAATTACTGGAATATTCTATCCTATTTTACTTGTACTTTTACTTATAACGACCGCATCACAATGTAGGGCGGTGAGTAACATTCCACTTCTTTTTCTATCTGTACGTTTTTTATAATAGCTGCAGGCTGCTGCGTAACAATATTCTAAGAAAACAACATTATTTTTAAAGTTAAATTTGTGCACTAGGTTTTTAAGCATTTCCACGAATATTTCTAACTACTTCTAGTTGTATACCTACTGTTCCAGGAAACTTTTTTAATAGTTTGAGAGTATTAGAGTAGTTTGTGGATCATCCTCAAACCAATTATCCGAGTATTGTTATGCACCGAAGAAAAAGTATTTCAATTTCCTGTTTGGAAACAAAAATGTGCTTTGTTGTTCGTGAACTTATAATTAATTTATAACTTTAACTCAGTGGTCGCCAACCTCTCAATGTGTTGAGCTACTTTGTTAATTTTGGAATAAACAGCGAGCTACCCACACGGAAGCCACATAACGCAACGTAAATGAAATAACCCACAGTTAATTTATCATTATATGTATTTATTTTACTATTTAACTGGTAATACATAATACATATGTACTAATAATAAACTAATAACAAAATAACTAATATTACTAGTACGTACTTGTTCATAGCTACATTCCTACCTACCAAACGAAGGTGTTTGAAAAATAAACACAAACTTTTATCCAGCCACAACGGCATGTCACGTAAGATTTAAAAATAGTTAATAATAACAACAAAAAAGTAACGCACTATCATGAACATTAAAAAATAAAAAAGCACGTTCAATGAGAAGGCTGACACTCAGACTCATCGATAATTTTTTTAATATTTGCAGTATAATTTGATACAGCCATTCGAATACAATTATCCAAATGTTCATCTGCAAGTCGATTGCGATATCTGTTCTTAAGAGTAAACAGTAGCGGCCGCCTCCACCAAAAAAATGAAAACAGAAACTGTAGCCTTAAAAATTGCTTTATTTAGATCGATTTTTTTTTAAAGTGTTTATAATGACTTGCAGAAACCCGCTATTTGCTTCAAATTTTTTTTAAAAAGGTAGTTTCTATTATTTTTTTATGTTTTTTTTTAAATAAAAAAACCAAGCAAATAGCGGGTTGAAATGAAACAAACTGAATAATTTTTCCAAGTACATTTTTTTTAAATAATGCATATTTTGAGCGTCGTTTCTTTTATCAAATTCAATTGTCTTCGTTCATAAATTCCGGTAGCCTGCCTATATTTATCAAGTTTGGCAACAAGGCACAAGCTTGGTACTTGGATGGTAGCGGCAGAAGCTCGACTTCTGCTGCATTCCAATTTTCCATAAGTGCAGGGTGGTTTTATGTTGGCAAAATATAGTGCAAATTTAAATGTGTTAATTGTTTCGTGCAAATTGTGAGCTGTGTAAAAATACAATATTTATTTTAAGTTAAAAACAGTTTGTGTTTATATTAATTGGTAAACAACATAATTGGAAATGGGTCGTTCTGGCATTAAGAATAAAAATTTGCGCTTAAATCAGTTCAGAAAAAGTAGACGCCTCTTACGAAAACGCTGGTAAATTTACTTAATAAGGAATATTTTTAATAATAATATTAATGAGTCTTTAATTAATGTTTTCAGCTTAACTAGTTTCGAAAAAAGTGTCCATGAAAACGTTTTACAGAGCGTTGAAAATACAGTGCATGAAACAAGACAGCTCGAAAGGTTTGTAAAAAAAAATTAAACATAACATTGATTCTCTTTTTTGATAGCAAACAAATGTTGTATTAATTAAAACAAAACATGTTCTATTACATACTATATACAGAGTGTCCCATTAGTGTGTGGCAGTCCAATATCTCGGTTGTTTTTGAAAACACGAGAAAATGACAAATACAAAAGTTTGACGGTTCACAGAGGCTCCTATTGTATTAATATTTTATAATATCAGGATGTCCCCAAAAAGCAAAGTAACTTAAAAAATATTTTTTTCTGATGGATCATCCTGTATTTCATTTTATATTTTTATTCTACTAAAAAATATAAGTATTTTTGTCTAAAACACCATATGTCAAAATTTAATTGTTTTTGAGCTTTTTGCATTCGAAAATTTATATATTGAAATTTTCATATAAGTTGGGTTTATGAGCATAATTCAGCAACATTTTTAATATATTTTTTTTATAACCTCTCTTAAAACTACTAACTAATATTAATGCAAAAAACACACTTTTATAGGATTTGGTACCATACCTACTATACTTTACCAACTCAAATTATAAAAAAATTTGCTAGTTTTACAAAATCATATTACAACTTACAAATAATAATATAGGTACTATTTTTTAATCAATTTTGTTATTTTATAGAAGCCAGAGCTTGATGAATCATACTACTTAATTAATTGTTGTTATTGTATTACAAAATGCATATACAGGGTGTTAAAAAAAAAGTGTCACAAAATGAAATGGTGAATAGTATGACCCAAAATAAGCAGAAAAGTCTTAATAAATATATGACCGCAAATTAACGGTTTCGGAGATACGGACCATTTTGTGTTTATAACAATTTTTTATTATTATAAAAAACAATGATATTTATAAACAATCAAAGTGCCCTCCCTCCATTTCAATGCAGCTACGACATCTCCTCCGAAAGGACTGTCGGTACTGACGTAGCGCTTCCCTCGCATTGCCATTTGCACGACCGTACATAAAATGCATGTCAGCTAATTCAATATTAGTGTAAACAGGCATAACGAAAATTTATAAAATTATTCACCCACAACAAAATAATAACTGCAAATAGTATCTATGAAAAAACATCGGTAGACTCCGATAAGAAAAGCAAGTTTTTGAGAATGAAAAAAGATAATCAAAAAATGATACAAAACACAAAACACTCCGTATCTCTGAAACCATTCATTTGCGGACATATGTTTATTAAGACTTTTCTGCATATTTTGGCCCATACTACCCCCCCGTTTTATTTTGTGACACTTTTTTTTTAACACCCTGTATAAATTATATCTTAATGACCCTAATTTTTAATCCCTAGCAAACAGGTAGAATATGAGATAATTTACTTGAACAATAACACAATAAGCATGTACTCAATAACTTGTTAAGTATGTACTATATAATAATAATTATAATGCTACCCCATGGTGATTTCAGACAGTATACAATTTATACCTAAGTATGAACATTTTTAATTATAACAGCTTTAGTTATTTCAAATTAAAATTATATTGCGATAGATTTACATCAAACCAAATTTTGACAAATAAAGTGTTTGAAATGAGGTACCTATATTATACGATTTTACATTTTGAAAACTCAAAGAGAAGGCATAAACATATTTAATCAACCGCGGAAAAAAATGTAATCTAAAAATGTATTGGTTCTTACCTGGCAAATACAAACATAACCAGTTTGTATCTTTTGTAATAATTAAAATGAAAAATGTTCTATTACCTATATACAGGGTGTCCCATTAGTGTGTGGCAGTCCAATATCTCGGTTATTTTTAAAAATACGAGAAAATGACAAATATAAAAGTTTAACGGTTCACAGAAGTGCCTATTGTAGAAATATTTTGCAATATACAGGGTGTCCCCCAAAGGAAAGTAACATTTTTTTTTTCTAAAGGATCACCCTGTATTTTATTTTATATTTTAATTCTACTAAAAAATAAAGGTATTTTTGTTTAAAACACCATATGTCTAAATTTAATTGTTTTTAAGTTTTTGACATTCGAAAATTGACTTTCTCATACTTTGACAAGCGGTAGCTCTCAAACGGTTGAAATTAGAGTAAAACGGTTTACATGTCCCTATCTTAGTTTTTTATACCTTATACAAATATGTAATAAAATCACCCATTTCCGGCTTAACCGGAAGTAAGATTTTTTTAGATTCATTTCATTCTAAACTTCACCTATCTGAACAGAATATAAAAAACCTAGATGAAGGAGGACATGTGAAAAAGTCAATTTTCGAAAGGCAAAAGCTTGAAAAAAAATTAATTTAGACATATGGTGTTTTAAACAATAATTCTTAGATTTTTTAGTAAAATTCAAAAGTAATATAAAATACCATTTGAAAAAAATATTACACCACATATCTGGAGTCAAAAATAGGTCGATTGTACCTTCCTTACTCATGTACAAAAGTGCACTTAAAAAAA